GAGGAGAGAGGCCACGTAGAGAGGACACATTGTTTTTCAGGTCAATCGCCACCTCATCGGCACTCTGGACGATCCAGCACCGTCGAACACCTTTCTGTTGATAGAGCTCAGTGTCTTTCTCACGAAGAGTAGAGATCACGCCTTGCAAAGCAGTGCTGAGACACGACGAAGTAGCCGTTGTGCTAGCCAAGGGTTTGTGAGGAGGCCGTTCATGAATGGTGCGAATAGAAGGACGAGAGCGAGTGCGTGGGGGGACAGGACTAGTATTTTGTGTTGTGACTCCAAGAATGCTGCGAAGAGCTGGAGGAGACTTGTGGGCTTTCAACACATAGTATAGGTAAGGCAGGGTATCAGTGTGGGTATAACCCCAATGGTGATTCCATAGTGCATGGTGGTTGAGCACATCAGCGACGGATTCATGAGGACGAGTATAAGTGGGACTGTCCAAATGGGTAGAGAGGTGAAACAAATACCAATTCTTGCAACAATATATATATCGTCACAAACAGAACTGCCCGGTAAACCGTAGGCAGAGAGAGAGAAGAGGACAACAAACGAGGGGCTGTGACAAACTGTTATATATATATATATATTTTGCCCACCGTCCTTCTTGCCAGCGCCTCAACTCTAGGTAGGTGTAGCGGGAACCATCTCCGATAACACTGAAATGGACCAAGTTCTCACCACGCTTAAACTTGCAACCAGGCCTTGAACATTCACATGAGTTCACACGTGAGAAACCAAAGCCGAGGTACGATCAACACACATGGAAGTCGTCGCCAAATTATTACGCAAACAATGTTTATGTCGCCAGCCGCACTCCCGCACACACACACAATCGAAACTGATCTCAACCCCGTTGGCGGCTATGGCTCCCCTCTCCTCCTCTTACTCTCTGTCTTGGATCGCTCGACCCCTCTTTCTCTCTCTCTCTCTCTCTCTCTCTCTCTCTCTCTCTCTCTCTCTCTCTCTCTCTCTCTCTCTCTCTCTCTCTCTCTCTACTTCTCCCTAGTCCTAAATCGTCGCCCTATACACACCCACTCAGGTAAGCTTACAGCTGGCGGCTATGGCCGCCGTACCTCCTACCTCCTCCTACTCTAGCTATGGAGTAACTGTCGCACACCCTCCTCCTCCAGGCGCGAAGTGCCCAAGTGCCTTAACGCACAAACAGTAGCGGCGCTTCAGCATCTTGCAATTGAACAATTGATGAGCCGCTGCTCTGTAGCAGCTAAATATAGGACTTGACTTGGCTTGACCTGCTTCAGACCGGTACCGGTCGACTGCAGCCCGTCTGCTGCAAACATTTTGTTGGTCCGGTAGCTTCCGGACTTTCCTGGGACATGGACTGGACCGGACTTTTCTTGTCGGGTACCAAACGGACTCCTACCTGTCTATGACGTTTCGGTACTGACACCTAACGACCTACGACGTTTCGGCCTCTGGACCCTCCGACCTACCCTACTGGGACAGCCTGGGACTGGGACACTTCGGAACCCTGGGACCAGGACTGGGGTGTCTGCAGCGTGAAGGGACAAGATAAAGGGAAAACAAATAAAATAACGTGTCATTGTTTTTGTCTTTTTGTGCATCATGTGGTGAGTGGTTGGGCGAGATCCCTAGTACTACGAACAGGAGCCCTTGCTGCAATAGTCTTTACAAAATGATAATGAATCTTGTATCAGACCATGGGTCGATACAGGAAGGATTAGCATAGGCTTGCACGTGGTTTTTGTCCTTTTGTGCCTGTGGTGAGTGGCCGAGCAAGGGCCCTTCTTCCGTTAGATCATGGGATCATGCAGAGAAGATTGGGATAGCCCTGTGCAAGGATGAGATGTCCCATTTGAAGGCATACTCAGACGAGGACTTTTTATTTGAAGCTCTGGACATGGTTGTGGTCAGATTCATCCAGGTCTGGCTGATACAATCGGGAATTGGTGGTGTGAATATGCCCTCAACCACAGTGCCTCATGAGCTGACCAGGTTCCCCGCCTTGACGGCTATTCTGACAATAAAAAGGACGTCAGATGGAGGGCGAGGGGAAAAGAAAAGAGAAAGGGCGAAAAAAAAGAAGAAACAACCAACATAGCAGTACCGGTCGCCAGCACTGAAGGACCGGTCACCTGCTATGTCTCTACCCTTCACCAGCTTTAATCTCCAAGTTCAAAGAGGTTTGGTATCTTCCCAAAAAATTGGTTCGGGAAGGCTGCCTCAAGGGTACTGGTGGCTTAATGCATATTTGGGCCGTTTCTCGATTTCTGCATGTCATCCTTGCACAAAACCCATACTAAATCTTCTTTGTTAGCGCTCCTATTTACTGGATGTCTCCAAGGACGAAACAAGAGTAAAGGTTACGGACCCTGGATTTTATACTTACTAGATGTCCCAAAGAATGGAACAAGAGCAATGTTTAGGGACCCTGGTCGATATAAAATCCAGCTGTGTGTGCCGCTGGACCTACTTCAGACCATCCAGCAGTGGATGTACTGATGAATCATGTGCTCAGGTCTTCAGTAGCCCTGACCTTCTGGCCAACATGAGACAGCACCCTAGATGCACGTTCCACTCTAACCCAGATCCTAGGATTAGGTGGGTCATTTGCTGAACATAAATCATCCAAAGAATTCTGGAGCTCGGTATCAAGCATCCACCAAATAGCAAACATGACAACAAGCAGGCTCTATTGTAACAGGGACTGTTCGGTGAAAAACACAACAGCGATGTGTAGAATGAAACAGAGATAAACTCACCGACTTGGTAATTCACTGCCTCCCGTGCCAAATGCAAGGCCATCCTCGTACGTGCGATTAGCATTTCTTGGCGCTCCCACTTCTTATGCAAGTTCTCTGGCATGCCTAAAGGCACTCCACAAATTGCATCCTAGTAATACAGCCAACCCTGCTCTTTCCCCGAACCGATGGGGCGATTTGATCACCAAAGGACTGAACACCATCCTTCCATCCAAGCAATAATCTTGACCTGACTGGGCTGGAAAGTATGCAGGATGCCAGCAGTACGCACACTGCACAGTCTTCTGGATTTCTTGCAATTTTTTTACGATAGCATCAGCTCAAAAGCATATGGAGACGAACACCACTTCGCTTCAGGGACATTTTGGTCCAACCCTCCGTCAGGTACCCGCTTTGCAGCATCAACCGATGGTGAATATCACAGACAAACTTCACGAGTACCCACTGGTAATGACGTCAAGGATGTATGTACATCCTTGCTGACTTCTTGCACCGCATGCATTCCTTACGTCGACATCCAGTGCCAACTCCAACC